CCAATACTTTACTGTCATAACATGTTCCATATTTACCATTTTGAAGTATTCTTTCCTACTAATGTAACAAGTTAAAGGACATGAAAAATATTTTTACTCAATTTAGTACTCCTAACCTCAAGTTCTTACCCAGATATTAGTTCTATCATTTAGCTGTAGCCAAGAGTAGGTAGTAAACGTCACCCACTTTAACTCTCCATGGAATAATCTGTGAAACAAATAACTCAACTCAAGTCTTTTATGCTTCAGAGCTCAAAGATTCATCTTGATTTTTCTGGTTCTCATACTGCCGAAATTGCTAAACAAGACTTCATTACTGTTTCATCTTCCTCACCGTGTTGAAAGTCGTCAGCAATGTCAATTCTAATTTTCTCCGGACTTTATATTCTATATCAATGTATAGTATGTATAGTGATCATATATAGAGATCAATAAATATGAAGTGGCATATCAAAACATTCAATGAACTTTTTATGTCAAACAAGTGACATTACCAAATCAAAAGCAAGAATATTTGGGCTATGATGCCAATATGCTAGGATTTATATCAGATTTCCAATGACTATATATTTAAACAATTATGTATTTCCTTTCAAAATAAATGAACACTTTAAACAAAACAAGATGACAGGGAACAACTCTACTATTAAAGTTGAGAAAATACTCATTAAACACCATTTTTTAGAGTGGCTCGCCCAGATGGCACCCAGTTGATTTTTTAAATGCCAATTGCCTAGATGTTAAAAAACCCACGAGTACCCTCAGAAGGTACAAAAGTCCTTGGCAATATTTTCTAAAGGACAGTGAGAAAATAAAATTGTCCTTCTACCACCATGTTTAAGAAGTATTTTTATTACAACTCTGATAAATAACTCATTCAAGTTTTAGTATACATAATACATAAAGAGTAAAATATAAATAGTAAAGTTGAATAAACATTTTTCACAGCTGGTTGAAAGACTAAGTGCTATGTGATTTTTTCAAATTATAATTAATATTTTTGCTTTTAAAAACTTGGCAAGACACGTGTTTATTTTAAAAATTAATAGAAAATGAAGCCCACAGGAAGTGACAATTAAGAGCTAAATGTGTGGTTTTGTTTCACATCAGTTATTTAACCATACGTTTTGGGGTGTTCTTTCTCATGTTTGCCACTTTTGAAAAATCAATAAAAAGCATGTGAAAATATCTAAATGAACACAGGGGAAATAGTGTCAAGAAATCAATACTTCTCTACCAGCATGTTTAACCTGCTGAAATGAAGTGTTAATCACAGAAATAAGATACCATATTACATTTATAAACTAATGAAACTAGAAAAAGCAAAGCGTGTGACACTATAATTAAACAGCTGGAAGACATCCAAGCCTGTGTAAGTTGATAACCCAGTACAATCTCTGGCAGTGAAAAGGCAGGTCTGCAGTGAGTTGATATGGCCAGCTCAGTTGTTAATTGAATAGCAGGCAATCTATAAACAGTACTAATTGCATATGTGAAAACCTGTGTACAACCAAAGAAGCTGCCTAAAGAAGCACTCCAGAAAAACTACATGGATAAAGCACTCGGCAAATCTTCTGTCTCTCTCAATCCCTTTAAGTCATAGCTTAGTTTTGCCACTGCGTTCTTCTGATTAACCTCTACACAGCAGACTTAATGATACATTTTTCAAAAGATCATTTTTCTTCCTAACTCGATATGTACCGCACAACTATCAATTACCCATTTCAGAAAAGAACAAACAAGTAATCTAGAAAATTCAGCCTGAGAATGGAAAGCTTTCTAAATTGTAAAAGAAGACATGGTTTTATTCCCAACAAGCAAAATGCTTTTCAGAATTGTTCCGACGCATTTTGCAGAAGTGTGGCAGCTGCTGTGAACAGCATGGAGTGTTAAGATTTGACGCTTTTTTTTCTTTCTTAAAGATATAGCCATTTGGGGAGGCTCAGAAACTGTTGTCAGAATTTTATTATTCATCCATTTAATAAATCATTTAAAAATGATTATTAGCCCTGGTAATGCAAACTATTGCTCTGGGATCTAAATCAAACTTTTTATTTTTTAAATCTGTAGGAAAGACTGGCCCAAGAGTTTAGTTAGGAAACATAAAACCTCCTCTAGTTTAACATACAAATTCAAATAAGGCCAATGGAGAGCAAAGGTCACTATCATTCTGAAGGTGTCTAGCAGCTTCCATAAATGAACTGAAAGAGTTAATCCACTCCTTAGTGACTATAATATCGCATTATGAAACTCAAAACTACCAATCAGAGTACTGTACAGTATTCAGAAGCACGAGTATTGGAGCCAGTCTGACTTGTACTCACATCATGGCTCCAACATGACTATTGGCAAGAAACTTAAGGCTGCTAGGACTCAGTTTCTTCATCTGTAAAGTGAGAATTACAATATATATCTCATCAGATTGTTATGAGGAATCAAAGAGATAAAACAGTAATTATGCTTAGCAGAGTGTCTAGAATTATAAACGCTCAATAATGGTAGACTTTTAAAAAAACAAAGCATGTGTTACCCATTGTAGATAAATAGAAAGACTAAAATATGTATAGTGACAGCATGTCAACAAATAACTAAATGGTGCTCAAAGCTGAATTTTCTCTCACAATTCATCAGTATAGAAGAGAATATTGGGCTTCACCAAAATTCCTTGGAAAAAAATACGAATTCAAATGTTTTCACTTTAAGATATAAACATCCTTCAGCTGACACTCTATGAAGATTTAAGGTAATTCCTCAAATCTGAAGCTTTCCGTCAATAAGAAATAAGAATAAAAAGCAACTGTACATAAT